ATCNATACATCTCTCATTGGATATACTTGTTTTTTAAATCAGACTATTTCCCTATATATGGGGGGGCTTCAAATATAAAAAATGCATATAGAAAGTAGAACTTTTTCAACTTAACTTTTGAAAGTGTTCCGGAAGGTCTGACACTTTTATATATATCTTAAATTAAAGCTAATGTAATATACTTTAATTTGAAAAAAAAAAATTTGACCTCTGGACTTTTCTTCACGGCGAAAATGGCTACCGAATGCTATTTTCGTGTGAAAATTCTCGATTTTATTATTCATATTATATTTAACTTTATAATGCTATAACTTATTGAAAAGTGTATGGATCAACATTATTTTTTTATGAGAAATAATATTTTTTAATAAACTCTTTTTCATTCGACATACTTTATCTTAATCGAGATATTAATAAGGAACCAGCAGATCATGTAGCTTTTGGAATAAAACACCATTTTTTTTAAAGTTAAACACTATCTAAAGATTTGCATCGAAGCGTTTATTTTTGATAGTGATTTTAATCACTGTCAGATATCATTATACTTGATCCAACTATCCACGTCACAACTGTGCCTCGACCCCCCTGTGCTGGGTTTTTTATTATAAATATTGTACCTAGAATTATCTCATTTCTCTCATACATTATTATATTATACATTTAATGACTTCAGTCTTAACAACACTTTAAAAAATTTAGCTACACTTGTAAAAAAATATTATTACCTCAACATGATTTTTTTTAACGTTCTAAATTCCAACATCACTTGTCACAGTAAAGTTTGTAATACCCAAGTCATCGTGATACAACTTATCTGATCACATAGCCTTACCAAAAATTAATTATAATACAAACCAAAAGAGTTATGCATTAAATTTTTATTCTAAAAAATATTTACTTCAAATCAAACGTATCCAAACCCTAAAATGCACCTGAAAGTTTTACATACCATCACTGTACACAATTGTCTTAAGTATTACTTTCAAAATTTGTGAATTAAAATTTACCTGAAATTATAACTTTTTTGACACATGTAGTATTTCAGTAAACAGTTTAAATTTTTTTTCGGTTAGAATTTATATTATTAAGACGTTTAAAATGATTAACCAACGACGAAAAAAACTATCAGTCAATTTTACTAATTGCCGATGAAAACTGATGGCAAAAAATACTTACGTCAGAAATTCCATCCTCAAAACCTATTAATTGAATTAAATCTATTTTTACTGTCATTTTCTCTTGATTAATAATTAATTAAATTAATTAATTGATCCTTTAATTTATTTTTAATGATTTATAATAACTTTTATCAAATAATTTATAAATTCAGTTTTAATACAACTAAGAATTTCCAAAGATAAATTAAATTATTATCAAAAATAATTTGTATAATTAATTAGTAATAATCATTACATTATTAAGATTATAACATATTTTTTTCTGATCAAATTATTTTTATACAATCATTATGAAATGAGATATTCATGCTTAAGCTATTTGTTTTTAAAAATAAAAATTCCTTTTACATACATTCGATATTACACTGTAACACGACTTACGTCGCAATAATGTAGTCGACACTGGTTTTGAGGGTAGAGACCCGTGGGCCGTTTATTAATGAGCTACAACAAGTTAATATAAAAAAAAGACGAACACAGTAATGATAATCTTCGCTTAGTATCGTGGCACTGTCTGATTATTATAATTAATATTAACATAAATATGATATTCTAAGAAATCCTTGAAATTCTTAATAATAATGTTTACTTAATCCAATTTTGTATAAGTATACTTTTCAAGTACACGCTATAAATTTGGTCATTGTTTTGTATATTTTTATAAGTAAAACTTTGAATATCGATTTATCAAAAAACAGAATTGTATTAAAAGATACTCCGCGTCAATACCGTTTCTCTTCGACCATATTACTACTAATACATATGCTTGAGACTTTATGAATATTCTAAATTATAGAATTTTCGTTTCTAAAAACGTAATCTCAAATTATTTTTCCTTCTATAGTGTAATTTTTATACTACATATTCATATATATATATATAATGAAAAGTTCAATAAAGTAATATTTATTGGTATATCAAATAAACATTTATTTACTATACATATATTAGTTCATTAATGTCACAAACTATGATTATAACTATAAAATTCTGTTTTCTAAAAATTTTTCACGAATCCACTTCATAGAACTATTCAATTCAGTGAATAAAACAATTGAATCATTAGAATTTGGATCAAAAATACTTCCAATGCCTGTTAAATAATATTTACCGTCGTGTATGAACGATAAACCAGATCCGCTATCTCCCTTTTCCACTCCTTGATCTGACACTGAAACATATCAATTTAATATTAAACATCATGAATTTTATTTATATCTTATATGCAATATATTCATAAAAATACAGATGATTATCGCGTCATATTATAAATAAATAAGAAAATAATTGAAAAATATATGGAAATTTACTATTTGTTGAACCAGCACAAATTTTATCGGTTATACCAATATTTTTTCTCATTAATGATCGGCAAGTCAAATAATCAATAAATGGTAATTCATCTGTTAATAATGTCTCACTGTATTCTTCTTTAAATTTATCTATTTTTCCCCATCCTGCAACCTAAAAAAAACGATAATGGAAGTTACGCAATTAATAATATATTGTTGAATTTCGCCCGACAAACACTTAGCTGAATGTTATCAAAAAACTACAAAAGTAATACTCCAGTTTTTAATACTTTTTTTTTTTTAATTTTGCGACCATTAAACATATTTTTTGACTTTGAGCAAAGTTAAAAAGTTATTAATTTATACTATATTTATTATTTTACCTAATTTTTTTAATGAAATAATAAATGATAATAGAAGAATAATCTTTTTTCATCTTTTGAGATCTGTCCTAATAAAATAATTCATTCAGTTCAAAAACATTTTATTACAAATTTTCCATTTTTTTTAAACTAATTGTTTATCGTATAAAAACATATTTTTTTATTTCGAATTTCAAATAGAAGGATCAGTTATAGATAATGTAATAATATCATTAGTTTTTCTAATATGATAGCATATGCCATACCATTCATTAATTTTAGATAATTATTTTAATTTTCTAAAAATTTATTTAAGTAGTAAAATGATTTCTTTGAACTATTTTCTCTGATATATTTATTATAAATGACTTATTTATAAAATTCTACGCCTTTTCCTCATCAAATTTGCTACAGAAATGTTAGTAGTTAATTAATGCAACACCAATGCCAGTTAATTTAAAACTAACAAATATTTACCAATCCTAAATTTCCGTTGACTTCTGAGTAGTCATCATTCCAATCAATGCAAACTATGGAAACAGCTGGACTGATATTTATGGGATCAGATAATACAACAATAGCTATATCATTAAAGTAAAATGTATTCCGCCCGATATACTTTTCTCCTATATGAATTTTTTCAATCTAAAATACGACAATTCTTAAGTTTTCAACACGATTGTCAAATATAAAGTTGATTAAAAATAATCTTACATTGTAAATTTTAGCATACTGGGTTTCATTTTTAGAATCATAATTTCTGTGATACTTTCCAACATATATTTGAAAATCGTTATTATCTAATCTATTATCTGAATGGTCATGAAAACATTGAGCAGCTAAAACAGAAAGAATGCTTCTATTAATTTTTACATTTTTATTGGAATTGAGTATTTACTATTAGTCTTTATTATTATATAAAACAAAAAAAAGTATGAATGTGTTAAAACTTTCATGGATTGTTTTGTTGCTTGAAGTGCTTGAGGATATATCCATGTTTACAGTTGAGTCCGAAACGTCAGAACTCAACTGTAAACATGGATATATCCTCAAGCACTTCAAGCAAAAAAAAGTATTTACCTGTCACAACTAAATTTCGAGCAATTAGTGATCCACTGCAAATGTAGCTAAATGAGTTGTTTTCTTTTTGATAAATAGCAACATTCCAGGGAACTTCACCATACTTAGATACTTCTCCATTTGATATTAGTGATTGTCTTTGATCTGCTATTATACCACATTCTGAAAATAAGCTTTTTTATTCTGGAGTATTCAATTTACTTTATTTTACAATAGAAAAACTTTTTAATTACTTTAATATTTTTCGTAATTAAATACACAGTACCTTGTTGCTTTTTTAATATTCAAAATAATTTATGCAATCATTTTTCTGGCTAAGTGAGGCTTGTTCGTATAAGCATTAATAATAAGTTTTTAAGAGGGGTGAATCGGAGGTTTTAGAAGCAATGTTCAATGTTCAAAGTTTTGTGGTATTTTTCTATAATGGCTATGAAAATATTTTTAAATGTCAAATTTTATTAATTTACAGTGGTTTTCACCTAATCTTGAAAAAACAAATTATAATAGGGATCTAATTACTTGGATTGGATATATTACTTAGATTAGTTGATTGATATCTGAGCGTGATTAAAATTACTGTCATAAAAAACATTAATATACATTTGAAACATATACATTAAAAAAAAAAACATTTCTACCAAAAATTACGTCTTTTGACTTTATAATTTGTAACGTTAGGGCCCTTAGTTTAAGTACTTAGGATAAGTCACTGAAACGTTCCTTTTATTTTATAATATATTACTAAAATAATTAGAGCGGTTTATATATCAACCAAAAATTACGTCATTATCGACTTTAGAGACCATTTACTAATAGAAGATTGATCATCGGAACGTTTTATGCTCCCTCAGTACTTTGATAATAATTGAATTTTCAAATATAATTATTTCTAATACTTAAATTCATTTAAATGAAAAATATTTAATTTAAGAAGCCACAAAAAGTACTAGTTGATCGTTTTTACAAATCTAGCCCATCATCAGCTCTAAACAAATACTTCTTTAAATTGAAACAAATTTTACATTCGTTGAAACTGATTAAAATATATTTTATATTGTAAAAATTTTGTTAATATGTCATAAACGTACGTGGTTCACATTCGTATAATTTGCCACTCCATAGGCCATTTTTTCCACACAAAAGATTTCTCGAAACACCATTATATCCATTTGAAAGATGATAGTCTGCTTTGCATGAAGGTACCAGTGAAGTTCCTTGAAGTAATGGTTCTGAACAATCAACAGTACGATCATTTATTTTACACTCGAAGTCTAAAGTTTTTGAAGTCAAAAATGGACAATTTTCTGAAATTCATAGTTAGACATAATATTTTGTAATATTCAATTGATCACTAGAATATTTTGAAATAAATAATTTAAATTAATTCTACTCTATCAAATGAATAACAACACTTACATATTTTTTATTTGTCGAAGATGAAATTTTAGTAATTTAATACTATATAGATTTTATTTATTAATTTAGTAGTTTATTGAAGGTCGAGTCTAGAGTGTGAAAACGTATGTTTTAATAAACGGGGTACCTGAAACCCAAGGTTTCAACGAGATTTTTATGAAATATAAGATAACTGCTATGTATATACAAATATATTCTGAACTAAGTAATAAAAAAAAATAACTTTTATTTAACTTTGTTTAAACATCTTTAATAACTAGTATCCAATTCAAATTTTGTGATATTTTTACAGTTTTAGACTAGATTTAAAACGCATATCACAATTATTTTTTTCTAGTTAGAGTCTAATATTAAAAAACTGATTGAAAAAGTTTAAAACTAAAAAAAATAAAAGATAAGATATTAAGTTATTTTTTTTAAATTACAATACTTACGAAAGATTTAGATAATAAACACCAAGTATAAAAAATTCTAAGTCGTAGAGAGCACAATCGCGAAACAGTCTGGTACAGAGACGCTTCATGACCAGATTTTTAAAAAAAAAATAAGGTGGTAAATGAGCTAACAATCGCTCTTTTATAGGCCTGTTTTATGAGGGGGAGACTTAATGTTTTATATTTTAATTGCAAAATCCTTCTCATTGGCTATTCAAGTAAACTTGAATAGACCTATGCGCAATCTATTATTCTACTAATTTGAGTTAATGTTTCATATTTGTATTGGTGTTTATATCTATTATCTTCCATAATAATGTGGTTTATTAGAAAAATCATCAATATAAAAATATAAATAAAATAAAATTATAAGTGCTAAATATCTATTACACTTCTAAGTTTTAATATTATTACTTATTATTAAAAAATAAGTATTTACTTATTTTATGGAAATTTTTAGGAAATTTTATGAGAATTAAAAATATTGTATTGTTAAGATTAATATGCACTCAGAAAGTTTTATAATAACTATTTATAGTAAATTTATCAGAAAAGCTCAATACTTTTTGCATTTTCATTCTAATAGATAACTTAAATAAAAATAATAGTAATCATTTCCTAGTATCTTTTAGTGTTTAAAAGATTATACAATTGACATATACAGAACTGAATTAATTTTAATGATTTACTTAACTAAAAAAACCAATAAAAAAAAAATTTGTTAAAAAGATTTACTTAATTGAGCGTATTAAAAAATTTGATTATAATTGTAAAAATCCATTATTAATTCAGGAGAAACTAACAATCATTCTTTTTTTTAGAAATTATTTATATGAGAACATGTTACCAAAAAATTTGGAATATTGTAGTCTAGTAGTAGCACACACAAATAGAATAAAATAATTATTCAATTACAAAATAAAATGATTTAATTTTGTAGTTGAAACCTATCATATCAAATTATCATATCAAACTTCATTCGTTAATAAATATTTTGAAAACATTAGAAATTAATGATTTTAATTGTCTTTATGGAGACGATGTAATAACTAACTGTTTAATTGATAAATTAGAATTTTTTTTTCAATTTTTGAGAGTAATATCTTCAACTAGATACGAATTGTAGTCATGTGACGTATCGTTGAAAAAAGTAGATCAAGTTAGAGCAGAGAAAATAAATGATAGTCACAAAAAAATATCTTCTCAGCTTTGCATCGAAACTAAAACTTAAAATATAGTAAAATAATTTTAATATAAATAAGAAATTTCTTCTCGCGAGTGGTGACTATAGTGATGGGATCCTTGATCTTTGTTGAAGTTATTGAATCTAAATGAGATAAAAATCAAAGGAATTGAAAATTTATTCTAACTTAAAAAGTATTAAGAACAAATGCAAAAAATTCCTGTAATGCGCGGGTTAGAACATAGTATCCCAAGTGCGTAAAACGCAAGTTTTACCGACTTGGAAACCGTTCGTCGCTGCCAAAGTTTGAAAAAAGAGCTATTTAAACTAATTCTTCAAATTTCAAAGTTATTTTTCTCGACTTCAAAAAGCAAAAATATTTAAATAATTTTAACTCTCTATGCTATATAATATTTTTATATTAATAATATTTATGTAAATCTGTACTCCCCTTTTCAGGTATTTTAAAATAAAAAGAAATACAAAACCCAGAATTTTAACACAAAAATAGCATATTTTTGAATACGATAGTCATTTTTACCATGAAGACAAATCCAGAGCTACCTTTTTTTTAAATTAACAGCACTTGAATTATTTATTGAAGTATATTCATTTGCTTGTAATATTTAAAATTTCGATTTTTCCAGATTGTATTAATGTATAGACTAGCAGAACTATATATACAGGTAGCCAATAGCGTTAATGATGTCCTACTTACATTGGTTATTTCCAATTATTACTTTATCGTTATGTAAGGTTAAAGTGATTTTGAAAGAATACGTCCCAAAAATGCCACCCTAACACTGTGCCACTACCCCACTATGCTACCGTTTTTTTATTTTTTAGTCTATTCGTTAATATATAACTCACTTAAACAAAACTCTTCATCAAAGTTTGGATACCAATTTCCATTTTTACACGTCAAACGTCTATATTCTGTATTACTTGAATTATAACCAGACTTACATGTTTCTTTAATTATATTGGTTTCATACAATTTTGTATTAGGTGTTATAGGTTCTAATATAAATTTTGTAACTGAATAATTCATGTATAAGAAATCACTTCCTTCTTTGTTAAGAACTGTACATGTCTTACTGAAAAAGTATAATAAAAATCTCTTAAATTATTCGGTTACATTAAAAAATTTTTTCTTTGGGTATATATGCTTCATAGTTATACGTCAAAGAATAGCTCTTCATCTATAAATAATAAATTATTATTAAAGTAACTATTATGAAATATATTTGCTATTATACGTTAACAAAAACAATTAAATTATTTATACTGGTGGCTCATGGTTTGGACGGCGAGAGATTGCAAGCAATACTAAAATTAATTAAAAGAAGAAAATTGAAGTTATATTCTTAATTCTACAATTTTAAATAATATTTTTTATTAAAAATGCAAATTTTTAAATATTTAAATAATTATAAAACATTTGTCATGTGCGAACATTAAAGTTAATAGCGTCCATACGGAAAAATATTAATATATTATTAAATGGGTAATTTAATTTTAGAATTTACTTCGTGTACGTACGTCGTTATCGGTTGCTATTATTATTATTAATATTTCTATTTTCTACTGCGCCCTTTAAAATAATAATATGTGTAATGTGTTTTATTTTATTATATTTAATTTGACAATATTTATTGTAATATATTTTTATACTTATGACTAGTCGTATTTTATTTAAAGTCGCATCCCCACCATCAGAACCCACGAGTCCCAAATGGCAATTAAAAAAGTTATTTAATTACCTAACGTTTTCACAAATTCTTTGAGTTTCATCAGTTCCATCTTGGCAATTCGTTGTACCATCGCATACATAAATAATGTCGATGCATTCACCAGAATCACATTGAAATTGTGTCGATCTAATAAATGAATACTAATAAAAACCTCCTCATGTCCCATAATGTCACAACAAGAAACAATCAATTAAATTTTATAAATTTCCAGGAAGTATATCCTCAAATTGGAAACTTAGCCCCTTTATAAGAGGTCTGAACATTTATTTTTAAAATTCAATCAAGTTTAAAAAATACTTTTTTAATGAAATATAATATACCATATTTATAATGAAAATTTATTCATGTTTTTAAAAAATTTCCTTGCTACTAAGGTAGTTTCATCTATGTCTAAATAGAATATAAATATAATAAGTATACAGTTACCAACATGGGACATGTATTAGTAGTTTGCCTTCTACTTCGTGAAATATGAGCGCCAATAATATTTGTTATTAATACACCTAAAGAAAAGCTTTTATTATCAAACAAAGTATACAAATTAACATTATAGTATATAATATTAAACCATTTTTTTTAACTCACCTAAAATTAAAAGCGCATAAAAAAAATGTCTATTATACATAAAAAGCATCCTCTTTTTACTAATTGTTTGAAAATAAAACTACTCTGTTTTATTATTAAGAATAAATTATTTGAATGGCAATAGTTTTACTATGTAATTACGTTTTTCTTTTACCAAATTTATCAATATTAAAGTTGTTCTTAAAATATTCCATTTAAATACTTATTTATATTTATGATAACTTCTTACGCAAGAACTTATACTAGTAAATTAAAAATGATAATGGTTAAAATTCAATTACACTCAGAGGTTATTTTTACATTTATTTCAAGAATAAATTTGTTAATATTCCAACCAAAGAGCATTATTAAATAAATTAATTACATTTAATAAATATTTTGTTGCAACTAGTATTCAAGGTTTCAAGGAAAAATATAATCTTACACAAATTTGAATGTTTTTAATGCTTATCAGAAAAAATATGTGTAGATGATATTTGAATTATTTATTTTATGTTTAATATATTGTCTTAGATACAATTTAAAAAAATATTTCAATGGTTTTATTATATCTAATGACCTTTATCTGGAAGGTAATCACCGAAATTATTCCTATAAGCAAAAATAATTATATATGCCAGTTAATGAATTTAGCTTATCACGAAATAGCCGACCGATGGATCAAGTAAAGGTCTGAAAGTATGCTTCAAATTAATGTGAGTAAAATTTAATAACTATTTATACATTATTAATAAATTTATAATTTTGTATCAAAAAGAACATAAAATAGAAGACAAATACCAATGGGTAACATTTCGATATAACAATTTTTACTAACCGTCACAAACGGGCCCTAACTACTAAAGGCAAGTCAATGTTGAATAGGCCACAGATCACGTTATTATCCTATTTGTTAGAGTATCGGGATCTGCATCATAAGTGCACGGTGACCT